CTGCGCGGCCGCGTGACAGAACAGTGCGGACCGCGCAGGGCCTTTTGATCCCCCCTTTCAGTTGTCTCTTGTCACTCGGCAGATTTCACTCCTTTTTTGAGCTGATCTTTAGTATTTGTCATCTTGTCGCTCAAACCTGCAATCAAGTGTCATTTGTAAGCATTTTGGGACTATTATATGGCAATAAATGCACAAAGCTCAGGTAAGAATGGGTATAAAAAACATGCAGAAATCGCAGTTATCAATAACCTGCCCTAATCATGGTTTTTACCAGTGATCTTCCGGCGTGATTTCCACAATGCCCCTCGTGTATTTTTCTCATTACATATTCCGTCTGTGAAGGCCCGAGGCACCTTGCTAAGGGACCACCGAACATTTTTCAATAAGCTTGTCTTGCTTTAAACAATATCGAACAGCCTTTTTCTCAAGCGCGTGAGCTTTTTCTTGTCTTCGGGGACGGTTCCATACTGCAAAGAAAGCAACAATCTCGTTCCTCCAATCCCAGGTTAAGTTATTAAAATTTACCTCATTTTTGTCTGGATCAAGCACTAAATAAAACAAATGAATTACGAAAGCATTTTCATTGCTTGCCACGTCTACTACAGATGCGAGATTGGCTAGGGCGTCCTCCTCGATATTTTCATCTCTTGATATTGGCATAACTTTCCAGGTTTGGAATTGCCTGATCAGATCCCGTACCTTCTCTAAGTATGCATCCGTGCTTCCCTGGCCGTATAAGTCCCCAGCATTTGATTAACTACGAGCTATTAATGCTGAGTTTTCGTGCTAGTTCTAAACCTGCAATCACAGCTTCATACTCTGCCTCATTGTTAGTTATTGAATGACATTTAATGGCTTGTCGAATGGTTTCACCCGTAGGTGGTGCCAAAACAATTCCCAAGCGTGCACCCTTCACATTAGATGAACCATCAGTAAATAAGGTCCAAATTCCCAGATTAGATCCGTTGAACACTTGTAATTCTTTTTCTGCTTCCAATTGCATTCCTTGGCTAAAATCAGCCACAAAATCTGCTAACACTTGAGATTTTATCGCGGTTCTAGGCTGGTATGCGATATCATACTTAATTCTATAGCCCATTTGGCTAACCTACCTGACAACTCATGCTTATGTAATATATTGCGTAATGGATAAACAATTACTACAGCGATAGGATGACATTGAAAATAAGGTCTTAATTTCTAGATGCCATGATTAATGCAAGTGCTAGCTTTTCTAACTGAGGATACCGCGTCTCCGTATCTAATAAAGATTTGCTGACATAATAGATCGGAGATTGTTTACCTTAGTCTTCATAGACTAAAACAACATTTACCGCTACTTCTGAGATAGCAAGGTAGATGAGCAATCTTTCCCAGCCTTTGGTTTTACGAGTAATGGCGGATTTGGCAGGTATGTCTTCAAATTTTTGAGTGCATGCTGACATTCCTCAGTCCATTCGAACTTATCTTGCTTTTTAAGAGCTGAAAAGAACTTAAAGCACTTTTCTAATGATTTAGAAATGAATCTCCCCAAGGTTGCAATTCTTTCTATCAACCTCTGCACTTCTTTTTTACTTGTAAGCATGTCAGGAATTTATTCAATGGTCTTAATTTGTGCGGGATTCACTTCAATACCACGATTAGAAACAAGAAAATCCAATAACTTACTTGATGCAACACCGAATGCACATTTTTCCGGATTTCATATTTAATTTTCGCAAGATCTTAAACGTATCAGACAAGTGCGATATATGATCCCCTAAATGTTGAGTTTTAACGAGCATGTCATCTATGTAGACCTCCATTGTTTTTCCCAAATGTTCTTGGAACATTTTGGTCACTAGTCTTTGATATATTGCACCAGCATTTTTGAGACCAAAAGGCATTACTTTATAACAGTAAGTCCCCCGGTCTATTATAAATGAAGTTTTTTCTTCATCTATTGGATCCATTTTGATCTGATTATATCCTGAATACGCATCTAAAAAGCTTAACAATTCATGTCCTGCAGTAGCATCAATTAGTTGGTCTATATGTGGTAATGAAAAAGAATCTTTAGGACAAGCTTTGTTAAGGTCTGTGTAATCTACAAAAACTTGACACTTACCATTCTTCTTCGGTACCATAACAGTATTGGCTAACCAATTAGGATACTTTACCTCACGGATAGACCCAATCTTTAGTAATTTTTGAACCTCATCTTGAATCACCTGATTTTTAAAGTTCATTGCTTTCTCTTCTTTTGTTTGACAGGGGGATACGATGGGTCTTCATTTAATTTGTGAGTCATTACCTCCGGTGGTATTCCTGTCATATCAGAGTGGGACCAAGCAAAACAATCCACGTCAGTTTTTAAAAATTCAATCAACTTACCTTTCATGTCTTGGCTTAGATTGGCCCCTACGTAGACTTTCCTTTTAGGTCATTGTGCAAATAATATTACAGCTTCCAGTTCTTCAATCGTTGTTCAGATATTTTCATTTTCCTCTGGTTCTTGAATGGCATATGGCCTTGAGTCCACGTTTGTTCGTCCTTGTTCAGTTGAGGTTTGTGTTGTGGTACCCTCAACTGGATTCTATAATTGCTATTTTTCTTCGTTTCCCGTACTTGAATCTGCTACAGAGTTGATGCTCCTGGATGTATGTTGATCCCCACGGATTTGACATATTCCCCATGGTGATGGAAATTAATAACTTGGTGTAAGGTTGACGGAACGACATCCATCTCGTGGATCCATGGTCTCCCAAGGATCATATTGTAAGCCATCTCTATATCTACCACCTGAAACTTTGTATCCTTGACAACTCCTTCTGCGAATATTGTAAGTATTAACTCCCCTTTCGTCACTACACTGGAATTGTCAAATCCAGACAGAGTATGCGCCTTTGGTATTAATTTATCTTCGGCTTGCATCTCACGTAGTACTCTTAGCAAAATAATGTTCACGGAATTACCTAGATCAATCAAAACTCGTTTCACATTAGTATCATGTACAAGTAGAGATATACCAGTGCATCGTTATGTGGGGATAATACGCTATTTGTATCTGCATCATCAAACGTAATGCTTTCTTCCTCTAAGACATGTCTCACCCGCTTCACGTGGGTAATTGTGACTTTGGAAACTTTATTGGTTGTTGTGTACGTCACACCGTTGATGTCTTCACCTCACTTATCACATTAACGGTCCTTTTAGGAGAAGGTAGTTTTGGGGGCTCATGTCTATTCTTCATATATGCTTGATTACCTCTCTCACTGAATAATTCAGTGAGATACCCTTGCTTTAATAGATGATCAACTTTACCTTGCAGCAACCTACAGTCTGCCGTTTTATGCCCGTGATCATAGTGAAATTCGCACCAGTGATCAGGGCTGCGCCTGTTTGGGTTCGATCTCATTTCTTTTGGCCACCGCACCTTATCACACATGCTTCTTAAAATAGCTACGAGCTCGGAAGTGCTTGCATTAAAATTATAACCGCCAAACCTTGCTTTCAAATTTCTATCATCATCCCGTGACTCTCGCGCGTTTCGATCTTTCCCAAATCTTGATGACGAGCCCGACTCTCTATTCCTCGACCTATGATCGTACCTTAGATTGTCCTGTTTTGACCGTGAATCTTTTCCTACTGGACCCATATATGGTTCGTACATGTTTTTACCGGACCTTTTTTCAGTTTCCGCCCGTCTCGAACTCACCTTTTCTTCTTTTTGAGATCATGAGATAATATCCTTTTCTATCCTTAGCTTCGTGTTGTACCTGTTGTAAACGTTATTCCACGTTGTTGCTGGGAATTCACGAAGACTTTCCTTGAGTCGCCTCGTGGCTTCAGAGCTTTTTCCATTCAAAATACTAGTGAAGGCTATAGCTCCCCAATTGTCAGGTACTCACGGTAACGTCATTCTTTCACGCTGGAACCTATCCACGAACTCTCTAAGCAATTCTGAGTCCCCTTGCTTGATTTTGAAAATATCTTCCATTCTTTTTTTGACTTTTTGAGCTCCCGAGTGTGCTTTGATAAATGAATCTGCAAGCTCAACAAAAGAATTTATGGAATTTTCAGGTAAAAGAGAATACCATGTTAATGCTCCCTTAGTGAGTGTTTCACTGAATTTTTTGACCAATACTGATTCAATTTCTTGTTTGGTCAAGTCGTTGCCTTTTACGCCTGTTGTGAATGCAGTCACGTGGTCTCGTGGATCAACTGTTCCATCGTATTTTGGAATATCGGGCATTTTGAATTTCTTTGGAATTAGGAGAGGAGCAGCACTTGGCTTCCAAGGTTGTTGTGAATATTTATCCATATCTATCCCTTTGATTACGGGCGGTACTTCAGGTATTTGCTCTATGCGGTCACTTTGCTCCTTGAGCTGTTTCTGCAATGTTAGTACTAAATTTTGTAAATCAGAATTGACTAAGTTACCTGGTTCTCCTTCTCGTGACTTGCTGGGGATTCCACCACTACCTGAATTAGCAAGCCCAGAACGAGGGTTCTCCAAAGTGTTATTATTTGGAGTGGGTATTGGTGGTGCAATGGGTAATTGGCTGACAAAGGCCTCAAAAGCTTTATTGACCTGTTGAGCGATTAGCTTGTAAAGCTTCATTGATAGCTTCATCATTTTCGAATTGAGCATTTCTATTTGCATGAGATCCATCAGGAGTACCTTCTCGAGATCGTCGAGGGGAGCTTTGTGGAGAAGGGATTGGGATGTGATCATCCTGTGGATTCTCCTGGAGTTGTTGGTTTCCTTGGTTTCCTTGGGTGTTGTCATTGATGTTCGACATAGTTGATGCAACAAAAAGGTTAGGCTAAGAAAGAGTAAATTATCAGATTCCCGGTAACGGAACCAATTTGTTTAACCAAAAAAGTGGAATTTCAGTCAAAACTTTAATTTAGAAGAACACGGGTTACTGATAATCAAAACTGAATAAAGAAAGTGATTTTGCTAACAATAAGATAGACAGAAGAAAACAAAGTAAACCAGTATATTCAGATGATCTTTCGTGTCCTTACAAATGATCTATTCTCTCCTTTTTATAGCTATCTTAAAGATATACGTTTTGCCTTTGTTATAATTAGGTCATTATAGACAATTAAAGGCATTAAATACTACGTTACATAATCATTATAATTTAATACAAATTCTCTAATGTTTTTAATATTTATTGCTTATTAAATATTGTATCTGTACTCTCTTATGTTGTCAGATTCATTCTCCTTGATTTTTGAGTATAAATAGGTACGAGCGTTGAGTCTTTTGAATAATTGCTCGTGCCTCTACTTGTACCTTCTGCTCGTATCTATTGCAACTCATGCCTCTTTGCCAATCATCACTCTTTGACCAGCCTTCGTGTCATGACACGTCATCTTCCAATCACTTCAATATGTAAACTCGATTTTCCCAATACAGATGCATTTCAGTAACACTTGATAAGAAAGTGATCATACAACTCATTATTTAAAGTTAATAAAAATAGAGCACTTCATATTTAACTCAAGATTACATCCCATAAAAGAATCGCAAATATTTCTAGACATTTTTTAAAGAAAATTCTAAAAAAGTCTTAAAAGTATATATAAAAACTATATATTTATATGTCGGTTTGGTTCGGATTTTTTCTCTCAATACCAAACCAAATCAAACCAAACCTATGTAACCCTTACATTTATATCGTTCGACAAATGAGCATATACATACGCAAACCAAACAAAATGATGAATTAGAATTACACCTTAACTATGTAACCAAAATGTTTAGAAGAAACAAGAATCTGCTTGGGTTGTTTCACAGAAGTAACTCGGAATATTCGATTTATTGACTTTGTGAAATTTCATCCTCAAATGATACAGAAATATGATAAACTTATTAGTCTTTGTCGTTACTTATGATGTAAGTAATAATGGAAGGTATACTTTTCTAAAGTTATGAAATACACTACAAAAATGAAAAATTGTGTGATAACGTAATCTTGAAAAATACAGAGTTATGCACCCCACCAAATACTAACTTAATACGTAATGATCAAGAAGAAAACATAGAAATTTATTAATTTAAATTTTCCATGGAAAGGGAAAAGTCTATAACAATATCAATTGGTGTAGAAACTTGTAACAAATTTGATTGATTAGAACAAGAATATATTTCTATTAGACGCTACACTTTACGGCTGGATTATTATCTAACTAAAATCTGTTCCAAAAAAGATATGATATTTTTCGAAATTTGTAGATAATTTAACTTAAACTTCTAATCTTACTCTCAATGAGAAGCTTTTATAGCTACACTAATAATCTGACATATTTAACACTACAAGTTTCATAAGAGTTACAGCCACACAAATGTTATACTAGTTTGTTTAGCACACAATTTTTAAATTTATTTCTTAAATTTCGTGTCTAATCAAATAAATTCACATAAATTAAAATGGAGGGAGTATCTAATAAGCAAAAAAAAAAAAGGATCACGATAGGAAAAATACACAACAAAAGCTACTATAAGAAACATGTGAAAAAATAAAATATAATCCAAATAAAAGGGGGAGTTGAGATAAACCAAGAAGAGAGATTCTTCTTTTTCTTCAGGGCTCTGGTTTTTTTTCTACGGAGTGAGCATAAACTAGAGATATGTTTCTACTTGGTCATAATCAATACGTTCACAATGTACTAGTACAAGAAGTTGAAATTATATTATTTTCATAATCAAAGATAAATTATATATAATCTTGTGTAATAATCATACTGATGGCGTGTCCAATCTCCATCTTAAATTATGAATATAAACTTTATGATTTGATCTTATGTGTATAAGCTAAAATTTATACATCAAATCATATTTATATACGGACACATACAAAATTATGATCTATTCAATGCAAAGAAACTTTATTAAATTTGAATAAAAATTATTTCATAACGAATACTATATCTAAACTCATAGGAGTAGTTATGTATCCCAACAAGAGTTACTCTGAACAGTAGACTTTGTGGAATTTCATCTCCTTTTAGGGTTGATTATTACAGAAATTAATATGATAAAAGCTGTCTTTGGTTAGCTAAAATAGGGCTGAACTTGAAAATCCTTAGGGTATTATCACCTTTAGTCCGGGCCAAAAACTATTTACATTTTGTAGCAAAAAAAGTGTATAAAACTTGTATAGTTTTTGTATATAACATACAAAATGTGTATATATATATGTATACAAAAGATATACAAATTTTATACATTCTTTCGGCTATTATTTTTACAGCGACTATACAATGTCATTTTTCCAAACCCCCTTATGCCGTATTTGTCATTGCCTTTTGAAAATCGTTATGCTATCTTTATCTTTACCTTTTGAGAATAAATATGCCTTTAGAAAATAGGAACTTTGAAATTCTCTTGCCTTGTCTAATGAGGCGCAGTTCAATTTCGTTGCTCTAATTTTTCTTTCATTTTCATCCATTGGTGTTGACATACATATAAAGGTTGTTTCTAAAACACAATATTTTTTTGTTGTTTCCAAAACACGTTACTCCTCCTATTACCACTTACAACAACAACAACAAACCTATTGTAATCCCGGACCTTATTCCTACTTGTGAGGGTAGAGTGTACCCAGAGCTTACTCCTACTTGTGAAGGCCTCCTATCTATTACCACTTGCTCCAGCGATATCATAAAAATTCTGATAATTTGTTGGATGAAGTTGAGAAAGAATCAACTTGTATCAAGTAAAGAGTTGTTAATAGTAGTATATAAGATGGAAGGTATACTTCACTAAAGGTACGAAATATACTTAAAAAAATGCAAAATACATAGTGATGCACTCCACCAAATATTAACTTAATACGTAATGATCAAGATGAAAACAGAGACTTTTACTAATTCAAACCTTTAGTACCTACTGGTGTAGAAACTTGTAACAAATTTGATTGGTTAGGACAAGAAGATACTTCTACTCAATAATAAAGGCCACCGCGTATTTGTTCTTGCCTAGATTATGCAACCAAACTTACAATAAACTTTCCTTCTTTTTGTTGTTAATTTATTCTCTTTACTGCTTCTGTCTATATATATATATATATATATCATTCTCCAGCTTTCTTCAAATAGCTTCAATACAATATCAATTGAAAACCAGCTTAATCTCTTCCAGTATCTTGTATCTCTCTTTCTATAGCTTTCTTCCAATATCTTCTATACAGCCCTCTTTTTCAAGCTCTGATTAAAGAGAAAACCAAGACTCCTGAAGATGGTTGACGCATTTGTGTCATTTGCAGTTGAAAAACTGGGCGACTTTCTCATACAAGAAGTTGCATTGCGCATAAGTCTGAGACAGGATGTGCGGTGGCTGAGAAATGAGCTGCTATTCATGCAATCTTTCCTCAAAGATGCAGAACAAAAGCAAAATGAAGATAAAAGAGTTCAACAATGGGTATTTGAAATCAACTCTATTGCTAATGACGCTGTCGCTATACTGGAGACTTACATCTCCATGGCAGAAGAATCTGATGACCATGGATTTGCTAGTCGTCTTAAGGCTTGCGCTTGCATATGTAGGAAGGAGACCAAATTCTACAACATCAGCAAGGAGATCCAATCCCTCAAGAAGCGAGTCATGGATATCTCTCGCAAACGGGAGACATATGGTATTAGAGACATCAATAATGCAGGAGAAGGGACAAGTAATCAGTCCGCCATGGTTAGAACATTGAGGAGAACTACCTCCTATATAGATGACGATCATATTTTTGTTGGCTTTCGGGATGTTGTAGAAAGCTTGCTAGCTGAACTTCTCAAAGCAGAGCCTCGCCGAAGTGTCATCTCCATTTATGGTATGGGCGGGTTAGGCAAGACCACTCTTGCAAGAAACCTCTACAACTCTCCAACTGTAGTCTCTAGCTTCCAAACACGCACTTGGATATGTGTTTCTCAAGAGTACAACACCATGGATCTCCTTAGGAATATCATAAAATCTATCCAAGGTCGTACAAAGGAAAGTCTGGATTTGTTGGAAAAGATGACAGAGGCGGATCTAGAAATTCACCTTCGAGGCCTATTGCAAGAATGCAAATACCTTCTGGTGGTTGATGATGTATGGCAGAAAGAGGCATGGGAAAGTTTAAAAAGAGCCTTCCCAGATAGCAAGAATGGCAGCAAAGTTATTATTACCACACGCAAAGAGGATGTTGCTAAAAGAGCAGATGATAAAGGTTTTGTCTATAAACTTCGCTTCCTTAGAGAAGAAGAGAGTTGGGACCTCTTTTGCAGGAAACTACTTGATGTTCAGGCAATGGTCCCAGCAATGGGAAGGTTAGCTAGAGATATGGTGGACAAGTGTGGAGGCTTACCTCTTGCAATTGTTGTATTAAGCGGGCTACTTTCGCATAAAAGGGGGCTACAAGAATGGCAAAAGGTGAAGGCACAACTTTGGCGGCATATGAAAGATGACTCTATTGAAATCTCCTACATACTATCACTGAGCTACAATGATTTGTCAACTGTACTCAAGCAATGTTTTCTTTACTTTGGTATTTTTCCAGAAGATCATTTGATCTATGTTGACAACATAGTCTGGTCGTGGATGGCCGAAGGATTCATACCAGAAGGAGAAGAAAAAACAGAGGATGTAGCTGAGCGCTTCCTGAATGAGCTAATAAGACGAAGCTTGATTCAAGTGGTAGGTACAAGTTGGAAAACAGATGTTAGATGCAAGATGCACGATCTACTTCGGGATCTTGCCGTGCAAAAGGCATTGGAGGTAAAATTATTTGACATTTATGATCCAAGAAAGCATTCCATATCCTCCTTATGTGTTAGACACATCATTCATGGTCAAGCACAAAGGTACCTCTCACTTGATCTTTCTAACTTGAAGTTAAGGTCAATTATGTTCCTTGATCGAGATTTTTTTAAGATGGATCTTATAAAGTTTCATGATGTCTTCCAACATATATATGTGTTATACTTGGAGATTGGTTCTGGCGCTATACTACCTGATGCCATAGGAAGTTTGTACCACCTCAAGTTCTTAAGCTTGAGAGGTATCCGTGATCTTCCCTCCTCCATCGGCCGGCTCATAAATTTACAGACACTTCGTGTCTTGAATGACTATAGACACTTATGCCAACTACCCCCGGAAACAGCTAACCTAATAAATCTAAGACATATAGTTGCGTTGTATTCAAGACCTCTGCAACTTAGCAAACTCACAAGTCTTCAAGTTCTTAAATACAGTTGTTGTGATCAGTGGAGAGATGTTGATCCCGTTGATTTAGTCAATCTTCAAGAATTAGGCATGTATGATATTGTGAATACTTACTCCCTAAATAACATTGGCAGCTTGAAAAACCTTAGCTCTCTCATGTTGCGTTGTAAAGTTGATGAATCATTCCCAACCCTTGAATATCTTCATTCTAGTCAAAAGCTCGACAAATTGTGGTTAGAGGGGAGAATAGAAAAATTTCCTCTCTTGGGCTATTTTCCAAATTCCATCACAATGATGGTCCTTTGGAAGTCAGAACTAATGGAGGATCCAATGCCTATTTTGGGAATGTTGCCAAATCTAAGGGATCTTGATTTAGTAGGAGCTTATGAAGGAAAAGAAATTACCTGCAGTAATAACAGCTTTTATCAACTAGAATTTCTTCGTCTTGATGGTCTTCAGAAGCTAGAAAGATGGCATTTATCCACAAGTTCCATGCCTCGCATTAAAGGTTTTGGTATCCATGATTGTTCAAAGCTGAAGGAGATTCCCCAGAGAATGAAAGACGTCGCTATCCTGGAGAAGTTGAAGGGCATCGATCAAGAGTTTGGTGAACATTACAGAGTCACTAGTTTAGGATGAAGCTTTTCAAGCATATATGATGTCTTATCAATTTCGACCTCTTTCACAATAGCAGAGGTACATACAAATGGAATTAAGTTATATATACTGACGGTATAAAGATTATTTTCTATTATTAATGTAGTTTAACCTGTTGTAACCTTTTATCAACATAACATTTCTGTTGGAATTAAGTTATATATACTGACGATGCAAACCATTTTCTATTGTGATCAATTATTCCGTCACTTGATACTGTCATGGTCATTTTTAGGTAATATTTTTTTTGCCTTTTCTCGAATACTAATTACTAAATTGTTTCTCACAATTAAGGTGAAACAGGAGAAATTAAATGGCAGATGCGGCATCTTTTTGCAAGCACAGAAGCATTTCAAGACCTTCGCATCGATGAGAGATTGCCCAACCTTCAGCATTTTATTTTTTGTTTTCTTTTTGTGAGTATTTGGAATTGGTTTGAAGAGAATTGTGTTTGGATTGTTGTTGATTTTGTATTTTGAGAGTTTTAATTTCTTTGTTCCAAAACAAGACATGTTTAGAAAAGAAAACAGAACACCTGTTTTCAGAAAACAAACAAAAACAATTTGCCTACAGCTTGTTGCTGTAATAACTAAGTACTATAAATAAGCATGAGATTTAAGGTTCGAGTTTCTGAAAGGAATTCTTCAATTGTTATATTATGCAAGAATATGATTGTTGAATGTCCTGCTTGTTTGAATTAGTAAAGAAGTTTTAATTCATATTTATTATTTGAGAAGGAAATAATAAGAAGATGAACCATCATGTTTTACTCTGGATAAAAATTCCAGTGTGTTACAGTTAAATGTCATTTGATTTCTTTGATCTTGAAAATGCAGAATATTATAGAGATAAATCAAGATAATGCATTTTTTAGGATGTCATGGGCTTAAATAAATGGTCACTGTACTCAAAAAAGGATCTTCTGTGGTTTTAATTGTTCAACTGTTAAGTTGCCTATCCATATTTTAAGATAATGCTTTATGTAAAAGTTCCAACATACTATATTCCCACCTGATGCCATAGGCAATTTGGTCCATCTCCAAGTTCTTAGATCAGGTCACTGTACTCAAAAAAGGATCTTCTGTGGTTTTAATTGTTCAACTGTTAAGTTGCCTATCCATATTTTAAGATAATGCTTTATGTAAAAGTTCCAACATACTATATTCCCACCTGATGCCATAGGCAATTTGGTCCATCTCCAAGTTCTTAGATCAGGTCACTGTACTCAAAAAAGGATCTTCTGTGGTTTTAATTGTTCAACTGTTAAGTTGCCTATCCATATTTTAAGATAATGCTTTATGTAAAAGTTCCAACATACTATATTCCCACCTGATGCCATAGGCAATTTGGTCCATCTCCAAGTTCTTAGATCAGGTCACTGTACTCAAAAAAGGATCTTCTGTGGTTTTAATTGTTCAACTGTTAAGTTGCCTATCCATATTTTAAGATAATGCTTTATGTAAAAGTTCCAACATACTATATTCCCACCTGATGCCATAGGCAATTTGGTCCATCTCCAAGTTCTTAGATCAGGTACTAACATGACTGAACTACCCCCCTCCATTGGCAGAATCAAAAGACTACAGTTCAGTATGCTTCAAGATAACTAACTTCATTAACTTAAGACATTAAATTTAGTGCAAGTTACACATTTGGCTGGTCGGCCAATAATAATTACATTTGCTAGCCAAATATGCAAAATATATGTATAAAAGATGTATATTATATGTATATTATACATTAATAAAATATATATTTTGCAAGCTATTATTTTTGAGAGCGGAAAACTCTAGAGTCTACAGACACTTAAATAAATTCATTATGATCAGTGGAAAAATGTTGACAATGTTGGTTTGGTCAATCTTCAAGAACTAGTTGTGAGAGGTATTAGGAAATCTTACTCCATAATACTTGGGAGAAAGGGACCAGAGACACCCACTCTATTATTCAACTGCTAGCAACTCATCACTAATATCACTGGAAAGAACTTTACTCAGAAAACTTGAAAGTGACCGTATATAACTTAAAACCAGAGAAAGGAAAACCTACATCAATTTGCAAATCAGCAGAAGAGAGAAGAGAGAGAGAAATCTGCTATTATTGAACTCTTCACATTTCACATTATTTAGTAGGTAAGTCCAAAAGTATTCTCTGGAATGGACTTCATGCACTCTTTCATCATCTCAAAATGTGACTTGAAAGAATGTCTTGGATTTATAGTTGCAGGTACATACAGGTATATTAAGGAGTACAAAACTTCTCCTTTTTCAGACTTCCAATAAAAAATTTAACTTACATACATTCGACAGTGTAAAGGATTTTATACTATCAAATGTACTGATAGTGTAGAAAATTTATAGTTATTTTTAATTACAGCTTTTCGGTAGTCCCAGTTGCCAAAACTTCCAGAACTACACTGACCTGATTCCTTTATAGCCAAGGATATGTAGGCAATCTCGGAAGCAAGGTTTGGTCAAGCTTTTTCAAAATGCTTCTTACGGAGTACCAAACGGGCAAAAATTATTCATGATTGCTCACTTTATCTTTGCCCGAAAACTCTTCATGTTCTCGAGCAAAGAGGGTCAGCTGTGAGCACATAATTTTGCCCCATGTATAATTTACTCCTAAAACAAACCAAAAATAATCTTAATTGCTTTATAAAATTTTAGAAAATTTTCTCTATTTTTAAGTGATTTTGCTTGGCATTTATTTTGCATTTTACATGCGTTTAGAAATACGTAAAAATTATAAAAGGGAGGGGTCAAAAATATTTAGTCTTATTAACATTTCATACTTTGTGGCATCATTAGCATCTAGTCGCATGTTAGTTGCATTCATAAAGTAAAAGTCCTAAAAAATACATTTAGCCATTCTTCTTTCTTTTCACATTTGTAGTTTCAATTAGTTAATCAATTTGTTAATGCAAATAAGTTAATTAGTTTAATTTTAGGTTGAAACAAATGAAGAGATTAAAGTTGCAAATTAGGTTTGATGTGTTTGTTTAATTAAAAGTGGTTAATTGTGCAAAGAGCCAAAAGGAGGTGTGACAGTTACAAAAAGAATGGAGGTGTTGTTATCCTTGAGAGACTGAATCAAAAGGAATGGGATTTGCATCATCGCTATCCTGTTTTCTGAACACTCTGATGCTCCTCAAGAGCTTTCGATAGATTTTTGAACAATGCATTATAGTAGTGCCCATGATGAAACTTAACATCACATATACCACCTTCTTCAAAAGGGAAAATCTATACTGTCCAAACTAGTAAAAGGAAAGCTCTACACCTGAGAGCAATAAAAACCAGCCTACTTGAACTGAAAATATCATCCTCCTACAAAACTGGGGAAACACTTAGTATATACCACCCCTCTAGAGAATGGGAAACATTCAATATTTCTGAACAAAGCATTTAGAACAATAGTTAACAAAAACATACCGTGGCATATACATAGCGACTCACCTTGCTGTCAACTTCATCGCGAGTCACATTCGAAGTTAATATGCAATTAACATCAACTTAATACAACTCTATGAAATAGGAAAACATAGAGTAGTAATCTCAAAACGCATAAATTCACAACTCATTCACAAATTTGGTTCTCCCAGTATTTAAAATGTTTTCGAAACTTAAATAGAAGAGATAATTTCGGGGACCTCCTCTCAGGCATCTTTCTCAGGTTTACCTCGCTTATTTGAAGTCTTTTTGTAACAATTCTTTTTATTTATTTAATTTTATTTTATTATAATTTTTTACTGTTTAATTAATTAGGCATTTTTCTGAAAAAAAACTCCGCTACAATAAAATTGATATGAACATTAGGAAAGAATAGAGATTTGAGGAAAGGTTCTTTCACATTTGAATATATATTCAAAGTGGTAAAACTCTTCAAATGTCTTAAGGAGCATCTATTTAAAAAATGCCCAAAGGTGTCTTGACAAAGTTGCTGTTAGAATCTCAAACATTAATAACACAACAGTAATGGTAGATCAATGATGTACCAAATTAACCGAAGTACGTAACTCAAAGGAGTCGAAGTTTGCATACCTGTGCGATATCTTCTTTGTAGACGACAACGATCTCAAAAAATCCTCAAAATTGGAAGACGGCGGTAGCGGTGCGGTCAGACACCATTACGCCACCGAAGCCGGCGGATCCTCCATTGGCAGAGGTTAACGTTAAGTTTAGAAAGGGCAAATTAGTCATGTTATAGTTTTTATAGTCAAATAAATAAATAAAAAGAATTATTACAAAAAGACTCAAAATAAGAGAGATCAGTCATCAGTGTTATAGAGCTAAACCTGAGGATGTCTTCGATATTATTCTCCTAAATAGAATATCTTTTTTTTTTTAATTTCCAGTATTTTGTTCATTTATTGTTTGGAAACAAATGTTATTGAGACTTTTACTATACAGAATCAAAGATGTCTTCTTATCAATACTTGTGCAGAGAAATCCCAAAGCCAACAACAAGAGTAAAGGGTAATTGTAGTTACTGTGACCCTATTTACTTTTTAATCTATTTAGAAAAAAGAATAATCCCTTTTAGTATTTAAAAATAATTTAACTTTAAATTTTTTATTTTATACTTAATGACATTGCTTTATAGTCATATAAATGAAATAGATGAAGCCCTCTGAGCTGCCTAATATATTCCGTTATAATTTTAATATGTGTTTTTTTTCAAATAAACAATTTAATCTTTTGAAAGGTACTATAACAATGATCGAAACTAACAATAATACCAAGGCTTTTTCTCTCTAGCTTCTCTCTAGCTTTCTCTCACTAAGACACTCCTATAGCTGCCCAGCTAATTCCACCTAAACCACCGGATATTACTAACTCTTCTAAAAGCTCGTCATCATCAATGGCAAATTTGGAGCAGACTACTTTCAAAGAAAAGCTTCTCCTGAACGAAGGAGTAATAGACTTTGATATGGACCACTGTCGAAAACTCAACATGAGTCTTCCCCTTCACAACTAACAACTCAAACAATCAGTGTTCCAAAAGGAATCAAAACTATCTACCTAACAGAAGCAGACATACAACGGCTCCACTTCCCTTGGAAACATTCTCTCATCATAAAGCTACTCGGAAAAAGAATTGTCCACGCTATCTCAAAACAAAAATCCAAGATTTGTGGAAACCTTCAGAACCTTTCCCACTAATAGAATTAGGTTCACATTTTTATATCGTAAAATTCACAAAGGAAAAAGGCATAAACAGTGTCCTAAAGAATGGCCCATGGTTTATCAATGTTCACTACCTATCCATCAGACGTTGGGAACCAAACTTCGTTGCATCAGAGGCAAAGCCAACAACATCTGCAGTCTGGGTAAGGCTTCCCCATCTACCAACAGAGTTCTACGATGGATCATTCCTTCAAAAAATTGGAAATTCTATTGGAACATTGCTAAAGGTCGATGCCTGCACAAGTGCTATTCTTAGAGGGCGTTATGCCCGTTTGTGCATTCAAGTGCCATTGAAAGACCCCATCTCCACATGTATCAAAATTGGATCTCACATTTAAATTGGGTCGCTTAAGAGAGTGGGTTTAACTGTTGCGAGAGTGAATGCGAGATTTGCAGAAGATTTAAAGTACTAGTTGATCTGTGTTTTCACAAGCTTACAAAGGATTTGAGTTTAATCTCACTATGGTATTATCGCATCAATAGAGTATATGCGTTATGAGTTATTGAGTGTGTTTTGATCTATGGCTTCGAGCCAAGTGGGGGAGTCTGCTGTTGATTAGTTGATTGCACGGTTATGTGCTATGTCGGTTCTAGTTTGAGGTATGCGGGTGAATCAGTTATAGCCTATGGAGATTGAGATCAAGGATAGCTCGAGTAAAGGAAAATTCTTAACAAAGGATATAGTATGCTTCATAGGTATGTGAGAATCACGGAATGTCTTGAGTTGTTGTTGGTAAAGGATGCTCGGTGCATAGAGTAGGAAGTTGCTTGGTTGTACTAGAATGAGGTTACATTTTGCGGTGTCAGAGTGCTAGTAAGGCACGGGTTGTTCGATTCGTTTGATCAGGCTAATTGCGGTTTGAGTAGAGTGGATGACTCTCGGGAATGGTTCTAATGGGTTCAAGATTTTAAGGTAATAACTAGAGATTTTCAAGTGTATAATTGGGCTAGAAACTGAGGTTTGCGTTAGAGGTGCCAAGACTTGTGTCATTTCTATATCAATTATGGGATTCTATATATCAGTATTAGGAAGGTAATGACTCGTAATTCATAGGAGGTCTCTTCAGGATAAGTATTTTGAACGTGGTGCTTTTGGGGATATCTAAGAAAGTATTCAGCGGCTTATGAGCCTTAGACGGTGTGGCTTTATGCTTGGGTCTCGTGTGATGAGTCTGGGTTGAGGAATCGTGATGGTATAGCAAGAAGGAGTATCAAGTTGAAGGTAAATCAAAAGGAAACTCGGATAGATGGGGTAGCTTGGTAGTAGGTCGAATCGGTATGGCAATGATATAAATAGTTCTTTGGTTGCTTACGAGGTAATGAGTTTCTACAGGTGTTTCGTGGCAATGCTCTTGGGTTTTAGTGACCTGCGTAGCTTGGTTGAGTGAGAAGGATTCAGTCATGTCAGGTTTGGTTTTTGGTGCAAAGGGGAGTCGGAGAGTTCTTGATGATTTCTACTGCGATTAGAGATGCGTATTTCCGGCGAGTGTGAGAAGAATGAGATGTGTAGTGGTTCTCTTCTGAATGGGATAAATGGAAATTCTTGGTTGGTTGAGTACATAGTTGCTTGTGGCTCGGAAGGTATATGAAGTTCTCATGTTACCCTAGGATGGTATGGTATATGCGGTATGTTGTGGAGGAATGAGATTGCGTGTGTAAGGTTACGGTTCAGTTATGAAAGGAAGGTCATAAAACTCTTAGCAGCGGGCAGTTTCAAACAATTAGAGAAATGAGCTTCAATGATTAAGGAAATGGTATTGCTAATGTGGGTGATTTGACGAGGGCATGACTTTCGGAAAAAGGCAATGTGATTAAGTTGATGGTACTTCGGTAGTATCGCTGCACTTTCTTGTTAGATCGACTGCTGATATTCGAGTTTGCTTGGTGGCACAGAAGAATTTTAGAGTATCTCTCGTGGAATGATTGGGTATTGAGAGGTGTGGTATGTATTGTCGTGCCCCTTTTTTCTCGCGAAATCGGGTTTATGACACTTGGAGGGACAACTCGTTCCTTTTGGGAACTGGGTTTACATTTGAAGAGTCGCCACCTAATGATTAAGGTGCATTAGGACACCAATAGAGATTCAACTCTGAGTTTGTTTGAATAACTAGAGATTGGGTAAGGGCTTGAAATTATCCCAAGAGAAAAGTATTAGGCACCCCTCAAGATCCACTAGTATAGTTCCCCGCTAGACAGTTATTGTGAATTTAGAAAATAGACAGGTATGGGCTCAAATATTAGGGGATTTAAACACATAAAAGAAAGAACATTGAAAGAAGCGTTTTAAAAAGAAAGAGTTTGCAAATAAAGGAAAGGGGTCCTAGGTTTATATTTAATATGGATCACCCCACACAATATCCGGTAATCACTCCTCAATGAGGGGCTACATGTGACATTATCGTGTGGTCATCATATCCATATCTACCCCTCCCACCCCGTTAAGGTATTAAAGCGCGGATTGGTCTCGATTACTTATTGCATGCTATTACCCGTCCCATTCCTATCAGTCCTGGAGGCACTTAAGACTACTAATCCTAAAAGGGAGGGATATTAGGCTGACTTGAGATTTCAGAGGTAAAAATCTAAGGCGGCATACAAAACATATAGAAGACTGCACGTTAAAGGGGAAGCACATAACACATAAGGCTCAAGAATACCTCCTCAAACAAAAGCACATAACTAGCATGACTTGCACATACTTTTTTTTTAGGTTTGATTAAAGCACATAAAGATGAGGGAAGTTAATTATTGAGGCAGATTAGTTTATTTCATAACTCAGATAAGAAGTCTGAATGAAGCCTTCCTGCTGGTTGTAGCAATTAACAAAAGCGGATTCAGTTTTATAGTTATTAATCTAAGGCTTGCCTAAGTGTTTAGACGGGGTCCTCTAGGCATGGTATCTATTACTGATTCCGAATAGACTGATTTTTTAAAACGGACCAGTTTCAGATTCTGCAGGTGATGGCATCTATTATTACCGATTTTAATCCCTATGAACATGATATCTAACATTGGCTGTGAACGAAGCGAATCAGAATTCTTTAAGAATCCCTATAGGCATGATTTCTATATGTTACTGATTTTAACACGTTACTGGATTACAACCACTTGGGCCCTAGAACATGATATCTAAATGGTGACAAATGAGCAGAATTTTAGATAATCCCTATAGGCATGTTATCTAGATGTGAATTGAACAAGTAAGTCTTATAGGCATGGTTTCTAAATGTAACATGAATATGCAGAATTAGAGTAGTCCTATAGATATGGTTTCTAAATGTAGTTTGAATATTCAGAATTTAAAGTGGTCCTATAGGCATATTTTCTACCCTTGTATGCATAGTTACCCAACCCTTTTCACTAGCCAACCCCAAATGTTCATTACAAATTATTACAAACCAGGAATAATAAATTACATCAGGAAAAGTACAAAGAAAAGTTACAACCAGAGGAGGCCTGATTCTTGACTTCCTCTCTGAGTTATGAGATAAACCAACTCAAAATACCATTGATCCAAATCCTTTCTCAGCCTTGAGTGTGCCAAAGTTCCCTAAGGGCCTCAATAGGACCCCGAGCAGTGCTCACACCCAAGTTTCATAGCCAGAACAGGGACAAGTGTAGTGTGGAAATGTCAGCCCTCATGTGTCCAAGTTCAGAGAGAGCTCATGGGTCCCAAGACAAGGCTCACGTGAGGGGGGCAGAACTTAAGTCTAAGAAGAGAGTGAAAAGTGCAGAAACTGAGTTCTAAAAACTGAGGGAATAAAGGAGAGGGAAAGGGTGATGGGAGATAGCCATTAACACTTCAAAGAGTTGATAATTTCACACCAAGGGGGTAGGGGGTAGGGGGATTGGGAACCCATGGCAAGGAGTCTATGTAATTGAGAAAAGGCCATCTTTAGGCATGCACATCAATAGAAGATGCTGGCATGCCTATGAGCCATCCAAAACATACAACAAACAGAGGAAACATGAAGGTTGTGGCCCTAGAAGGGCCAAGTTTGAGTCATGGACAACAATGTTCAATGCTGTTATGCCCCAAACCAACCACAAGTATTAAACACATTGGGGTGGGGATTTGGGATTCATAATACATTGATTCAGAACAGGA